ATTTTGGTGATGGAAGAAGTATAGGATGCCCAATGCAATTGAATAGCATTTACAGTTGAAGGAAGAACCAGTGAATTCAAGAGGAACAGATAAGAGGCAGCCATATCTGCTCTACTCATCCTATTTAGTGTCCTAAACCCAGCCCTGCACTGCTATACATCTTCATTCAAATTTTAATAACAAATTGTGTCTGGGGGCTCACCTTTGTATCTGTTGAACTGAAGGAGAAAATATGGCTCAGATGATGAGCATAGTAGAGGTTCCATATTAAACATCTCGATATAAGATAAATTGTGACTTCCCATGTAGCCTTCTGTCTCTGCATTAAATTTGCTTTCTGAATTCATACAGTTCTATTTGCACTTCTGGGTTATTTGCATTGAGATAGGAAGGAAAACATGAATGCGAGAGCAAATCATCTTATTTTCTTTGTGATTGTTACCTTTTGTCTTGTTTTGGAAAGAAATGGCAGATAGGTTTAACACCTCCTCCAGGATTGTAGTGGCTAGAATGTATTGTATGAAATGGTGGAGAATGCATTGCCAGAGCCCTTAAGGACTCATAACTTTAAAAACCTATTTATATTAGTCTCACTTTCCTTGCCTTTTTCCCATCCTAAGCTCTTTTTAGAAAAGAAAGAAATAAAAAAGAGCATGGTATAAGTCTGCAATCCATTGCAAATCAAATCAACTAGACATAGAATTCTCAATAACAGGCAGAAGTTGTTCAAGAGATAACTGGTTATTTGATAGACCATCCTTCTTGGCAAAAATTTCCTAACTTGATCAACAATTACATGGTACTATTTCTTATTTTTTTATATATTAAAATGAAATTCTTATGGCAATTATCACCTTTAAAAATACTCATATTTATGGTTAGCATTTATATAAGGATAAACTGTTCCTGTATTTATTTGTTAAAGTAATATGTGGATTTTGTTCTTAGACGTAAAATAAATGAAGGCACCATTAATAAGGTAAATATTAATCCTGTTAATATCCTCAGTGCTTTAACATGATGTGGTCTCATTGAGAAAGTTATTTCTATTAGCACTAGCCTACCTATGCTTTTTGTGATAAATGCACAGACCCTATTGCTCAATGCAACAATTTGTAGACAGGTTGATTAAATTAAATCATTCTGAGTCTGTTTTTTTTAACTCTAAAGTTAAAAGTAATCTGCAAAGGAAATATACAGTTGCAGTAGGTTAGTAATATGTATAATGACTTTAGTTAAAATTTCTGACAATACACTAAAATTCCCTTGAGAACAGGCCTGTGAATAACTGGGTCTATTTTAAAAATAATATCTGAGATACTAGGTATCTTTGAAAGAAAAAGTGGTTAAAAAATAAATCATAATCTAAACTAATCTGTGTTTGCTATCAGTAGAAAGTCCATAAGCAACTTTTGTACACACACTGTTAAATTATTCTGTAAAAAAGTGTAAGGATTATTTGAGTATGCAGGCTAAATATGTTGTCATGCCCTACACCACAGTACTCCAGTCTGGCAAAAACTTTATTCTTTGGTCACAGCTCAGTACAAAAATTTATTTAATGAAAAGGAATCCAATTCAGATTACATTTTTTCCACATAGACAGAATGCATTCCACTTCTTCCTCTGCATAAAGCCAAACCGCTAAAAAAAAAGTATATGCTTGTGCTCTGATCTGTTATGTCAATAGAGGTGACTTCCTCTTGGGCTCAGTTTCTTTATGTGCCTTTATCCCCTCATAGATCTAAATCTTTTGAAAGTTTGGTTGAAACAAAATCAATGAGTATAATCTCCAACTACTCTACTCTGCTTATAAGCACAGTCATGATGAACATATATTATAAAGTGTAGGGCGCCCCACAAATGGTTTAAAAATGCACTCATATAATTCTGAGGCAATCAGTAGAAATGTACATTTAAAGTCAAAGCAGTTTGGAATAATATTTCCCTTCATCAATATTTCCAGTTGCCATAATACAGTCATCTAATAATTAGATGACTGAATAAAATACAGTAATAAATACATCCACCCACAAGAAATACATCCTTAGCTATATCTATTTATTGGAAATATACTGTTTTATTTTCAAATACCTTCATTATAATTCCTAATGTGGTTTTCAATTTATTTTTCTATCTAAAGTGAAACCTAATAGAAGTACACACAAATTTTGGCCATGGGAATTTGATTTTCTCATAGAGAGTGGGTAAGATACTTTATTATGGTTCCAAATCAAGCACAAGCATGTAAAGAAGGAATTTGCCAGTTTTAAATGACCACTTTTATTGGAACAAGTCTTCAGAAGCAAAAATAGACTTGAGCAGTTTGAACATCTCTTCATTTAGAAACTCATCATTGACTTTTGGGAAAATATCACTAGTTCTTTAGATTTTTTGGGGGGAGATTACTTCTGTGTGTGCGTAATTCACGACTCATATAGGGATTCGCTGTTGTATGAAAATGCCTCATATTGCAGTGTGCCCAGTCAGTTGTGTTTTTCTGGGCTTAGTCCTCTACAAATGGAATGCTTGAAGTGGGACCTAGAGTACATTTATAAAAGGTTCAATTAAGTGATACCAAAGGACAAATCCTCTCCTGGAAAGAAGGTTTCCTGGTTTTCCTCAATGTTGGATGTTTGTAACAATTTCAGGCAAAGGCATTTTTAATACCTTGTTTCCACCAAAATAAGATATCCCCTGATAATAAGCCCAATCGGGCTTTGAGGGCATGGCAATTAGGCCAAGTGCTTATTTCAGGGTTCAAAAAAATATAAGACAGGGTCTTGTTTTCGGGGAAACACGGTAGTAAAATGGTTTTCTGTCAATATTGCTGAGCACATTGTAAGCCGCCCTGAGTCTTCGGAGAAGGGTGGCATATAAATCCAAATATATATATATATATATATATATATATATATATATATATATATATATATATATATATATATATATATTATATATATAATATATATATATATATATATATTATATATATATATATATATATAATATTTATATATTTATATATTTATATTTATATATATATATATATATATATTTATATATTTATATATATATATATATATATATATATATATATATATTATATATATATATATATATATATATATATATATATATATATATATATAATAAAGCAATAAAAAGATGAGAAAGTGGATAGAACAATTGTACAATGTGACACAAAAAGGATGGTTGTTTCTGAACACATTCCAGGAGTAGGATATTAGATATAAATTTTATTCCTTAAATTTTATTTTATAAGATTGGGAAAATGGTTTCTAAATATTTACTGTATTCACCGGGCATAAGGATTACAATGCTTAAAGTATCCTGAAAAATTAAAGATGGAATATTTGCTTAAATAAGTAGCTGAAGACCATTCTTTTATGCCTCAAAATTATGAACAGTATGACCACTTATGTCTTGTATATGCAGGAATAAGAAAATAAAGGATTTTGCAAGGTTCTGCAAATGCATCTCTTTCTCTTTGCTAGAAAACTGATCATTGAAAAATTATCACCTTCTAAGTTTGTTGTTTTCAATACTGTTTCTTTGAATCAACAAATATTGAGAGTGATGTTGACAGACCATTGATTTAACTCAGCAAGATCAATCTGTGTATTTTTCAGCTAAGGCCACAGAATCATAAAACAATGCACCACATGATATCATATCTGATATTTTATTAGTGCTACCTTTCAGTTGTATTTGGTCATCGAATGAAACCTTGGGATTTGCACTTCAATAAAATGAACTAGGACAAAAGTTTATGGCACCAAGAAAACAACTACATTTCATGTGACTCAAATGTAATCTGAATACAATAAATAGAGTTTTGTCCTTCTAATGCATTGAATTCTATAGGCTCCACCCAAGGTTTCCAGAGGAAAGAACGGAAAATTGAGAAAGGAAGATAAAATTGCTAATCATATTGGTTGATAAGATGAAGCAAATGTTACTTTATACATGCTGATATCTAGCCCAGATTCTTTATTGAAGATATTTCCCAGCCATGCTGTCTAGTATCTTTAAACAAATATACTGGAATGGCATCGGTGAGACAAAATATGTGTCCAGAGTTTCCCCCTCTTCATCACAAGATCCCACACTAAGTTATCACCTAGTGTAAATTAACAATCCCCCCACCCCCAGCCTAAATTTATTCTCTGTAGTCTGGTTTTTTTTTTGGTGCAACAAAATATGGTGATCTGTAGCCATAATACTTTGCATTTTGATTCACTAATCTCTAAAAAGTTCCACTTTCACAATCTTCTTAAAAACTCTCAAATATCCTGGTATGTATAATAGCTAGAAAAAACAAAGCATTTTTGTATGTTGTGATTTTTTTATTTTTTGGGAATCTGCTTTGTTAAAATAATTTTGCCTATTATGTCTGTTGTTAAAGAATCTCTTCCTTTGATATTTTACTTTTTGTACACTGGCAGGGCAAAAGCATAGAATATTTATATGATTAAAATTCTCTGCTTTTGATGCTTTATGGCTCAATAAAATATCCACAGAGCATATTGTCTTATTTATTAAGTAAATGTAAACAGTGCTGCCATGGTGAGCTGCAAAAGTAATTATATTGCCAGTCAGTAATCTAACAGTTCACTTCAGGTAATAAATCCCGATCAATAAACAATAGGTTTTTTTTTTTGTGCTAAATTGGATCTCACTCGAATCTGAATGTCCCTAACTCAGGATTCTCTTGGATTAGAAGAATATCATTTTCATGAGCTCGTTTCAAATTTTCATTAAGAAAAGCTACAGCGACCTGCTTCCTCTCTTGGTTATGTTTAATGATCTTTTTGAACTTCTCCTTTGTATCAGCATGAGCTTCTTTAAATTGATTAACTGGGCAGAACATTACTTTCATGAGTTTAAGGCATTTGGAATTAGTCTAAAAAATAGTGACGTAAAATGACACAATATTCCTCCCTTCTCTCTGAACATATTTATTTATTTATTTTAAGCATTCTAATAAGGACCAGAGTCATTTTGTAAACGAGATGGGAAATAAAATCAAAGAAGAAAAGAAAAGAAAAAAAAGAAAGAAAGAAAGAAAGTCAGGTTCAAAAAATAGTTATCTGTATCAGAGTGAATGTAATGGAGACATTCTAATGTGTTTTTCCCAAATCACTTTTAGGGATGCAGAAGGCTTATTGGGAATTGGCTGTGATATCTATAAAAAATACACGCATGATGGTTTATAGGGGATTTCCTCAGAATCTTCTGGTATCCAGATCCTTTTCTGGTATCCAAACTGTAGATTTCCTCAGTTTTCTGATATCCAGACCCTTTTTTCACCTTGATTGTAATAATGATATGTATTTTATTACTGTAACGATACATTTTTCCTCATTATAGAAAAAGCCATGTTTGTAAAATTTTCAAAGATTTCTTTAATACATGTGAAAGACAACTAATTGTATTTGTAGTAATTAACACAAAATGAGATTTCTTTTTTTCTTTTTTTTGCAATAAAATACCACTGTTTATGAGACTGTTTGATCACTATATTTATAGAGACTGTATGATGGGGAAAGTATAATTATTATTAATAAAGCATTTTACAACTAAAAAAGCAGAGTTTTGTGTGTTTTTTAAAACAAAATTTACATTTCTTTCCTTTTACATGTATTCCTGTCACAAAATATTATATATACACCTACACCCACACCCACACCCACACCCACACACCGGGGTGTGTGTATGTGTGTATGTATGTATGTATGTAGAAGAAGGGAGAAGGGCGGTACATAAATTTAAATATTAAATTAAATTAAATGTATGTATGTATGTATGTTGATATAGATGTAGATGAACATAAGCAAAATAAATAAATTTTACGAATGTATAAACAGGACATTGTGATTGTATCTTGAAGATGGCTATGTGGAGTACAAGGGTGAACTTAAAAATTGGCTGCAAATCTAGAGCCATTTTGTTTAAATACCAACTTGTTACTACTGGTAATTTATTTATTTAAATTTATTCAACTCCAATGGGCTGACTGTATAAGAGCAGCATTGTCATGAGAAAGAGGTACAGGAAACCAATTTCAGGCATTCTTAAACACAATATAGAAATGAAAGTGTGTGTGGTAAAAATAGACAGGTGTTGGGAGAGGGCAGGAAGTTCTCAACCTGTCTTTAGGATATGGATATTGAAATAAGTTTTCGTACAGTCAGATATTTATGATAGAGAATGGAGGGTCCCCAAAGCATCCTTGAACATTTTAGTAGCATTTTCTATATAAATGGAGTGGGGGGGAATGTAACCTCCTTCCCTTTCTTTGAGAAATCTTGATTTAATCAGTATTCCCATCTTCTAGGCTAGGCAAATTACTCATTACAGATACAGTTTGTTGCACAGAGTAACACAATTAATATGGTGTAGATCAAATGGACATGATGTTTATATACTATATATAGTTGAAATGGAAATTTTCTTTCAACCTCATCACTGGGAATGACCCAGGAATGTCTGTACCAAATGCTCCTGGCACAGGAACTGGAGCATGGCCTTTCTATAGCATGAAGTCTCTTAGGAAGAAGCAATACAGTAATTTGAGAAACTCAAGCCCCATAAATCTCTGCATGGTGCTTTCCCTCAAGACTTTTGAATGAAATAAAGTGTGAAAAAGTGGAGCTACTGACACGAGGATGCAGTGTTTCCAGAAAAGTGAGGCATTTCACCTTAGGAAATGGAAGAATCTCTTCTTTTCATGAAAAAAAATCTTTCAGGAAGCTGTAAAACTATGAGGGTTAACCATTTTAATAATACAGTAAAGCTTGGTTTATGCATGAATAAAATGGAAGCAGATAAAATTGATTTCCTATTTTATAGAACAACATTTTGTGAATGTGTGAAATCTAATTCATTGTTTAACACACATTGTGCCAAATGGACAACACTTCTCTATTACATTAATGGTTTATTGTATGTAAAAACAAGATGTAGTTGCTTATTTAACTAGCAAAAGCTATTTCTGCATTCTTATATTTATATTAGAAAAAATATTAGAGATTGATATATACATATAAGCAGGGGTGAAATCTACTACCTTCCCTATCGATCCGGAAGTGCATGCGACCCTTCTGCACATGTGCAAAGGGTAAAAACAGGTTACTTCCTGGTTAAAACCAGAAGTATTGACGACCGCGGGTGGGTGGAGCCTTGTGCCGCCTTTGCTACTGGTTCTCCGAACTACCTGCCGCCATCGCTACTGGTTTGGCTGGTCTGAACTGGTATCATTTCACCCCTGCATATGAGGATATGTTCCCTATATATACGTACAATCTCTGATTAAAATACAAAAGTTACCATCCTCAAGCAACATGTTTAAACAGTTTCACTTCTGCAGTAAGTACAGTGTAATAAACAGTTGTAGAAGAAAATAAGTGTCATTCATAGTACAAGAAATATATGTATTGAAGAGCAATGCAAAACATCAACACCTATTCAATCTTCATGATTTCTTTAAAAACAGATAAATGTGAAAGGTAGAAGCATTCATTCAGGAGAGTTCAAAGTAAGTAGCATGGTGTAAATAAAAACCATAATGGCCTAATGCTTTTATTAGATTAATCACATTGTTATAACGTTTCAGGCCAAGCTTTTGGCTTTTCTTGAAGTTGCTTATTACATAAAATGGAGGGCTTGAGGGAAGAAGGAAAATAGTAGTACATATAGTTAAGTCCTAAAGTCTTCCTCTTAGCCACCGGAAAATGAAAATTGTAGAAGGGCAATTTTCATATTTGGAGCACCTTATTTGGAGCAGGTAGAAATTGCTAAATGCGATTTATATTGAATCAAAATTTCCTGGAAAAAAAGCGATAATGAGCATTTCCCATTCTTACAACAACCATGGCTTTCTGCAGGACAAGACTGCAAATGGCTTCCAGTTTTGATTACTTTGAGCATTAGGCCAATATATGAGGACAAAAGAGCTTAGGGCCTGTGGTGAACTTTGCAGAAATTATTGCTTGGTCAATGTAAGAGCCAAATGTTGAAGGAGCTATTATGATTCCAAATTCATAACACTTTTTTCTGAGTCTGAAGTCTTATTTAACTATATTTCTTTTTTCTAATTTTTTTTGCCTTTTTTTACATTGACAAGTATTTACTTCAATATTACACATTAAAAATGTTACATCCTTGTTCTATTTTGTTCGCTTATTTTCCATTATCAGCATGCATAAAAATACATATCTATATATACATGTAAATATATATCTACATGCCAAGTCATAACACGATGGAAGCTATAATATAAAGCAATGCAATTTAAGATTGAAACCGTTATTATAAAACAAATATCTTGATGTATGCTGTTCCTTTATTTATAATTCATTCTTAATGTTACAGTTACAATTTAAGACAAGGTTAAATAATCATAATGCCTGTAACATTAATATCCAAATTAATTAATATTATAGAATATTTTATTTATTATACAAACATTTAAATTACAGAATATTAAGTATATTATATATTATACTGAAATAATATACTGTATTAAAACTGAGAAAATGGTGTAATACAATGGTGGGTTTCAAGTTTTTTTTACTACCGGTTCTGTGGGTGAGGCATAGTGGGCGTGGCATGGCTTGGTGGGCATGGCAGGGGAAGGATACTGCAAAATCCCCATTTCCTCCTGATCAGCTGGGACTTGGGAGGCAGAGAATAGATGGGGGCGGGGCCAGTCAGAATTTTTACTACCGGTTCTCCGAACTACTCAAAATTTCTGCTACCGGTTCTCCAGAACTGGTCAGAACCTGCTGAAACCCACCTCTGGTGTAATAGTCTATATAGCTAGATTTAACAATTTATTTACTTACTTATTTATTTATTGGTTCGATTTATATGCTGCCCTTCTCCGGAGACTCAGGGCGGCTTAAATATGCGTTAAGCAATAGCCTTCATACTTTTGCATATACCTGCTTAGTAAGGCTTTTGGCCCCCCCCAAGCGGTGTTCTTTTTATACAAAGTCAGCTTATTGCCTCCACAATCTGGGTCCTCATTTTACCTACCTCGGAAGGATGGAAGGCTGAGTCAACCTTGAGCCTGGTGAGATTTGAACTTGCAGTAATTGCAGGCAGCTGGCAGCTAAGTGCTACTTAACAGCACTTTAGTCCGCTGGGCCACCAAGGCTTCTTAATATGTTAAAGTTGAGCTACTTTTATAGTAATATGTGTATACGTAATTTCTTCAACTGTCACTCAATTAATTACAATTTTGTTCTTTTTTTATTATATTAGCAATGTTATATTTTTAGTTGTAGATCATATTGTCTAATTGTCATATTTTACCAATAAAAAAATAAAATGTTTTTAATTTGTTATATTCTGCTGAGCTTGAATATAATGGATTACTTGTATTTAATGTCATATTTCAATAAAAGTACTGGAGAACAGAAATATCTGTTCACCTCATTAGAAATTGCTGACCAATATTAGAATAACAGGAAAGGATAAAGGAGAACACATAGTTTATGTAATACAAATATCCCAACCTACTGTATTTTAGTAGATGGTACATAGGGAATTTTGAGAATGTGTCTTAGATGTACTAATAAAGTGGCTGCTGTGGTAGTTTGCTTGTTCACAAGATCACAACCAAGTAGCTAATCATCCATTGCCAAGAAAGGCAAAAGAGAATTTAGAGTATTCTTAAAACAAGAAGCCAAAACTCAACATACCCGCCTATATTCCCCACAAAACAACCTTGTGAGGTGAGTTGGGCTGAAAGACAGTGATTGGCCCAAGGTAATCCAGATGGCTTTCATGGTTAAAATGAGACTAGAACTCAGTGTTTAGCCTTAACCACTAAATCAAATTGGCTTAACTACTAGACCAAATTCAGACCAAACTTGTTCTATTATACTAGACCCATCTACCAGTGTTTTCTGAGGTAGTTCTTTGCCATCACTCTCTCTCTCCATGTCTGGTCATAATTAGAGGTCTTGGGTTTTGAGCATGACTCCCTCAGTTTCATTGCAGGTTCTCTCACACCCATTCTCTTCACTTGATGGGAATGGTAAGGAAAGGCTGGCCCTTTTTCTTTTGCTTCTTTTCTTCCCTCACTCTGGTTCCCCTTAAAGTCTATCTCTGCTGCAGTGGTGGGTTTCTATCGGTTTACCTCAAACCAGCTCGAACTGGGGCGAACTGGTAGTGGCGGCAGCGGGAGGCTCCGGATGTCATCACGGATGCTGTGCGCATGTGCAGAAGGTTCTGTGCATGCACAGAAGTGCCACACAGAAGCGAAGCAAGCACACGAACGTGCATGCTCCCAATTCCGAACTGGTACAAAGGTAAGTGGAACCCACTGCTGGTTCTCAGTAGCAAATCTATACCACCAAAGAGATGAGAACTTCAACCCAGTGTGACTTACCAAGGACTTAAGCTGAAGTAAAAGCTAAACTCATAGAAAACAGTATCTAGAGAGACCTGACCAGAGTACAGAAAGATGTTTACAGCAAGACTAGTAGCAGAACCTGGATACAGGCAGGTGTGTCCCAAATGCAGGGACAATCCATGAAGAAAGGTTTCAGATTACCCAGAAGGGAGTGGA